CTTGTGGATAGGTCCTTTGAGACTATGCAGATATTCTGTTTGTCATCATATGTTGCTGGGGCCTTGTTACAAAACTGCCACAAAGTTCAAATATTTTATCATTAGATCCAACAGATTAAAACTTAATCTTTCCAGTTTCTGTCATTATAGTGTCATAGATGTGGGCTGTTTGCAGACTGGCTCTGGTCTGCAGACCACACTTTGAGGAGCAATGTTCTCGGCTGCACGTCTTCACCAGTTCCTTTATTCCTATTACTGTCAGATTGGAGTTTGAATAGCAAATCCAACGGTGTCATTCTTCAGCTTAAAATTCGTCAGAGTCTTCCCATCCTTTTAGGGTGCAATCCAGACTTCTAAGCCTGACGGTCAAGGCTACATCATTCTGCTCCATCTTTCACATTGTCCCTTTACTAGTTAGACTTCTCTGATTATCCTCACCATTGTATCCATGTAGGCACACCTGGCTCCTCCACACACTGTAGCTGGCCAATCCCCTGTCTTTCAAGGCTGATGAGCACCTCTTTTCAGTAGCTGAGCTCACTAGGTTTTCCCCACGTCTAGTCCCCTGTATCCTGTGCATATATCTCTGATATAAGTTGAATTTTGTTTTTATGTTTGGTTATGTATATGTCAAACCATTTAAAAAATTTTATTGAAGTATAATTGATTTACAGTGTTGTGTTAGTTTCAGGTGTACAGCAAAGTGATTCATTCATATATTAGCTATATCATATGACATTTATCTGTCAAGCTATTTGACTTGACTGAGCTTAAAGGCATCGATTTTGAGTTATAAGATTAGCCCATGACAAGGGTTCAAGAGTGTTAATCATAACTTGAGATAGTATCCAGGAAGAAATGTCTCCAGTACTAAGTAAGATCTGTATGACCAGATGGATTCCAGAAATGCAGAGACAGTGTGTGGAGAAGCCCTTTGGGGAGGACATTGTCCCTGATGGATAGGGCTGACCGTTGGGGCCTTTGGCTCTAGACTTGTGGCCCTTCTTCATGGGTCTGGTCTCTACCCCAGGGGTAGATAAAAACTTCAAGCGAGGAAGCAAACTCAAGACAGTGCAGTTCCATGGGTGGACCCCTGTGTCTCCGTAGGCCTGTTTTATTGCTTTTGGGGACCACTTTCTTTGTCCTGCAAAACTGAGCAAAGAGCAGGTGGACATCCTCTGCCTTCCTCTCCCTGCACCTCCTTCAAGTTTTACAGGAAAATTTTAAAGAATGCTAATAATGGTTTGAAATTCAACCCAACCTAGTGTTATAGCTCTCTGAACAGAACGGGAGTGATCTCCCTGTACCAATTTTTCCTGTATTGCAACTAGTCTTTTATATCTAAATATTGCTAGGCTTACTTTATATTCAGCCCTATTTTCAAAGTATATGAAATGTAATTGTGCCAGAAAATAGAGAAAAGCAAGGCCGCCATGATTCCATAGGTCACCGCTAATAACTTTACCTTGAAAGCAATTGTTCTTTCTTACATCAAAAGTGTTGACCTATTATTTAAAGTATACATTTTAATCTTTTTGGTAATCATTTAGCACATTTTGTGATAAAATCTTCTTAAAGTTTGTGCTCATAGCTTCCAGAGATAAATCTCAACTAAGTATTTATCAGAATTTAAATACATGGTATTTTAAATGCGTTATCAAGCATTAATAAATACATGAAAGTGTTATCAGTAAATGATTTATCAATTAAAAAGTATCAATAAATAATTTATCAATAACTAGATTTTTAAAAATTTCCCAATACCAATGGCAACATTTACTTTAAGAACAGGAGGGAGTTAGAATGCCAAATAATGTATCCTAAAGATTTTCATAAATTCATTCAAAATTTTCTAATTCAAACAGCACCTCTTTTGTTAATAACATAAACCACAGATATACAAAGTCCCAGTCAATCTCCTGTAATAAAACCTTGTAAGGAGAAAACTCTTTCACCATGTACAATCTTATCATTAAATTACACTGTTAAGGGGAAGAAAAACTGCCCCTCCCCAACAAAAAACCCAAGGTAAAGTAGTCCCAAGAATGGAATTTGGAAAGGGCAGTGTATTTCAATTTAATCATCTGGAATTACTTAAATACAGTGTGCTTAGATGGCTAACATAAAGGAAGAAAAGTTTACTGTGCTACAGTTACTATCTTCACAGTCCTTTGAAGATTTGGGATAATTTCAAAAAGATCTCTACTTTGTTTTTGGTTTAAAAAATTCAGATAAATCTTTTCGCTTCCTGTCCTTCAGGCTGTCTATAAACCATAGACATTTCATTCTTTTCAAATTTAGGAAATAACAGACTCATGTAGTAAGATGATACTGGTCATTTAAATCATGGGGGCCAACCACAACAGAGCCCCCGGATAAGATAGCCTTTTGAGTCATGATTTTCCAAAGTCTCTGTCATGACTTAAGACCTGCTGCCTGAATAAATCCCTGAGAACCAGCCACATCCACTTTGTTTAGAGGTAAGCCTCCTCCTCCCTGCTCTGCAGAGGCCTGAGCACCGGAGCTGCTCCCCAGAGGACCAGGTCAGAGCAAGAGAGCGCCATTACTCAGAGCACATCAAGGGTTGATCATTTGAGAACCGAGCTACTAATTGGACGTATGATGATATGAAAGGAGATGCTTAAAGTAAGGAGGTGTATTTTTTAAAATGAAAATTTAAGAACATATTGAAAACTATGGTCTCTAAAGCAGTCTAAAATCTGTGGCTTTCAGATATTTTATATACAACTCACAATAAAACAAAATGCATTTTATGTCACTACCCAGTACACGTATTCAGACCTATAAGTGAAACAAAAATGCCACGGACAATACTGTGTGTGACACCCTTGGATATTTTCTATTGTATTGTTTTAAATTAAGAAAATGCTCGTCAATAGCCAGTGAACTCATTGCCCACTTATCAGTCACTTCCCATGGTCTGGAAAAATGCTGCCTCAGATAGTTGTAAGTGTATGCAGCCACCGTTGTCCCATACCTGCTTTAGAGTGCTTTTGGGATTACCTGTGAGGTTAGTTCATGAGTCACAGAAAATGTCATAGAAAAAAAATTTTTTTTCACTAAAAGTGATTTTGTTTAGCTTGAGTTCCCTTTTTATTTACCAGATGTGGCCCTAAATTATGTGTTAGTCAAATCAAAGAACAAAATTTTTCTGGTTGATTGTGTTCAGAAGAATGTGAGGATCGAAGTGTTAGAACTTGAAGGAGGCTTAAGAGGTAGTCCAGGCCAGCCTGCTCGTCTTGCAGAGACCCGGAGAGGAACTAGTTGCAATTTTTAAGAAAGAATTAAGGTCGTTTATGTAATCATATGTTAGTAATAGAATGTATTTTAGAATACCGTCACAGAAAGGCTGGTGTTGTGAGTGGCTGCTTCTGGATCTGAATGTTGGGGTAGACTGTGATACAGGAAGCTGTCACTTCTAGGTACCATAGGGGAGGCAGTGGTGCCTGTGACTTTCTTGGTTGTGGTTGCTAGGGCCACTTGGAGATGTATGTGCTTGGCTCTTTCAGCCTGGGCCTAATCAAAGTATATGTCATAAAAATTGAAAAAGACCTATTTAGCAAATGATATGGTTAACATCTAGGAAGCTGAGGAAGAGGTTTAAGAATGTGCTGATGTAAAGTTGTGCTTGGTCCTGAGTCTGTGCATTTCCTGTCCTGCCCAGGCATGGTATAAGGAGCTCCATCCTCACATCTGAGCCTTCAGTTGCCCAGGAAAGTGAGAGAGTGTAAATGAATTTAATATTTGTAGTCAAAACCTTTTCCCTCTAATATATCGAGACTACAGAAATCATCGCGTTTATTTTTGCTAGATACTGAGCTAGGGCTTTCTGAGTGCTTCAGTCTCAGAATTCTCTCTGTATCTCACTTTTCCTTAACAGATATTTGTAAAACACTGTGATCTTTTTTTTGGCTAATCTCATAGGCTTTTCTTTCATCAATGTATTATCATAGACAAACAAGCTCTAGGGAGGCCAGACGATAAATTCCCTTTCTATCCTCCTGGCATTTTCTGTGAAATAGACAAACAGCACGTACATGCCACGAAAACAACATGCTTGTCTTAAGTGCTGTAGTTTATCCTACAAAGTAAATTCTAATCAAGTTAAGGAATCTGATTTTTTTTTAAACTGGAGCAGGATCAGAAAATTATAGCTTGTGGGCCAAATATGGGACACTGCCTGTTCTTATAAATAAAATTTTATTGGAACACAGCCATGCCTATTCATTTATGTATTATTTATGCCTGCTTTTACGTTATGGAGACAGAGGTAAGTAGATGCTATAGAGACTGTGTGGCCTGCAAAGCCTAGAATATTTACTATTTTGCCCTTTATAGAAAAAAGTTTACTGACCCCTGGAATAAAGGAATATTTAGAGATTGAAGTATTGTCCTTAAAAAACTATCACTTTTGAATCAAGGCTATTTTCCCTTAAATAGCATGAAAAAATTCTTCTGTTACAAACAGATGACAATTTATAACTAGGTTTGATGAGAGAAAGTGCCTAGAAACTACTGAGTGATTGACATCTACCTTTTTTTAAAGATCATTAAAAATCATTGTACATTAAATCGTTAATGCTGAGAAGGTAACTAATGAGGCATATATGAAAGATTACAGTGTGGCATGCTAATAATTTAACTACAGGGAGGATTGGTTACATTATTTCAGCTGGCGTTGCCTATTTTGACAGTCTTTATAATAATTGTGAATTTTAATAAAATTTTACATGTATAAATATCAGTCTGAGGTTTTACTTACTACAGATCAGTGAGGCTAAGCTAATAGTCATTTGCAAAGAAGCCTCATATTTCTTGTGTTTAGATGTAGTTCAGTGTATTAAAATGAGTATTTAGTCATAATATTTTTCGGTCGCAGAATTTAAGCAATAAAACATGGGGCTGCAATGCTCCATATCAGGGTAGCAGTTTAAATAATTTTAAAATAATTAATAAATTATCTTTTCATTTTTTAACAGACTTGTGGAAGAAAGCAAACTGATCCCACGCATTTTTGATGTAATTCTGGTAAGGGAAGAAATATGCGTCTGAAATTCAAGTGAAATTTAAAAGTTTTTAAAGTTTTGACCACGTTGTTTGGTTGGGTTCTAACCCTAACTCTGCCCAGAAGGACTGTGTGTCCATCATGTCACTTAACCTTATTAGGCCTCAGTTTCCTTGTCTGAGCTCTTGTCCAGCTCTGAGATTGTATAGGGACGCTGTTTAATGACCTGCCCTCTTTCTGAAAATCCTTTGCATTTCATTTCTATACAGTTAAAAAATATGTTATCTAATATAGAAAGAATACTGTATCTGAGGTTGGTTTGTGGAGGAAGGGCAGAATGACGATCGCTGTGCTTCAGTATGAATTTTCTGATTTTCACCATGAAGCTCTCTGACTTTGTCGTCTCTGGGTCAGATCAACAATTTTATGCCTGTGGGCGGAAGTTGTCTTCTTCAGAACATAGAATAGCTTAGCTTCTGTACACCATTTTTTCCATTCATAGAACACAACTTGATTGAAAACCATCGGTTAAAGAAAACCTTTCCTCTCTGGTTCCTATGTGTAGAGAATAAAATGGGATGTAGGGTTGGCTTTTCTCACTTCTGATAAATCCCTATTTATACTAAATAGGAATCTGAGAATTAGGCTGAAAACTCAGTTGGTACTTATAGCAAGGGAGTGCCCTTAGCCAAAGAAGTGTTCTCTTGTACCTGAGTGGGTTGTCCTCCCTTTACCAAAATGTTTCCCTCCATAGCTGACTGACAGTGCAAGGGACAAATGAGGGGGACATGTCCGCAGTCAGATCAGCCGAACCTGCCTTGGTCGTCAATAGAGCAATAGCTGTTATTGTCTGATAACCCTACAAATGGAAGTTTAGCCCTCTTTAATCATCCTAAAATATTAATCTACAAGTTGTTTGTGTGCTGATAGGGCTGTATGGTGAAAACATTATTTTTCTTAGCTGCAGATCGCCCTTTTTTTGGTGGAGAGCTGTTGGGTTTGCTGAGCTATTTGAGTTAGGCAGGGAGTTAGGGGTGGGCATGGGTAGTATTCCCAAAGCACGCTCAAGTGACAACGAGATGACCCAGAGCTGCCATGCTAAGAGGATTGAATTGCTTCAAGTAGTCAAAGGGGACTTGAGAGGCAGTATCAGGAGAAGAAAGGGAGAAAAAGGAGATGAAGAACCATGGAGATCATCAGCTGTCTAGTGGGGATTTTTAAGCTTTGCCCAGTGGTATGTGCATCTCCCACCTTCAGTAGGACATACATCACTTGCTCATTCGTTGTGGAGTTGGATTTGTTTTTGGAGGGCCACGGGTGCCATTAATGTTGGGTTCGGCTGCACGGTTGGGCAGGGTGCAGGAGCCAAAGCTGTCCACATTCAGCCACCTCTGGCTTGCACTTGAAAAGAGACTTGGTGCTGCAGACAGAGCTGGAGCTAGACTGGACCTTAAATTCATGGATGTGACTCATCCCTTTGCTGTGCCAGGAGGGCTTCTGACCTGCTGAGGTCAATACAGCTCCTTTTGTGACTGATAGAAAGCTCTCCACCCAGCCTTTGGCAATCATCTCAAGGTCTAAAATCCCACACATGGAAAATTCTTCCTTGTAGGTTACCAAAACCCCTCCATACGTGATGAATCTTTGTATAACAAGCACCTAGCAAGGCTTCATATTGCGCAAATGTTTAACTGATTAATGCCACCATTGAAACCCCTGTCATTGTGTTGTAGCTGTCGTTGGGAGTGCGTAGAGGTGACATATACTTTCCAGGTCAGGATTTCAACTTGTCCTGAGCCCTGTGACCTCGGAGGCATTTCTGCCTGAACAGCTCCATTCTCAAGTGTTTTGTAGGCCCTTATTTTGAAATGAGGTCCTGCTGCTAAGAAAAAGTAAAGAAAAAAAGCAGTTGGAAATCACTGCTTTTTGGGACAGGACTTTTGATGTATTTGGAGAACATTACTGAATTACTATTCTATTTTTGTCTTTCTTGAGTTGAATAATCTCTACTTTTTTCTCTGTATAAATACATTTTTAATCCATGAAATATCTTTGTAGCAGTTATCCTATGAAACATTACCTTGACCTTTCTAAATTTTTGTCACCGAGCTAGACATAATACTTTATTGATTCTATGCTGTACTTTTTTTTTTTCCCCTCATATTTTAACATTTCTGAATTCAGGCTATACTTCCCAAACCAATGACATTTTACAGTTGCTTTCAGCCAGGTGACCTGGTTGTCATTGCCTTAACCAATTCATTTCAGTTTTCTTTTTCTTTTTCTTAGTGCCCAAGAACCATGTATTAGAAAAATATATGTCTAAGTTTAAAAGAGCTCTTTCAATAAAAATAAAATGAAAATTCTGAGTAATAAGAAACCATGCCATAGTTTAATTGGCAGCATTTTTCTTCTGTAGTGCTTGATAAAATAATGGTGTATCTTAGAACTGATGGATTCCTGGATTCAAGAAAACACAGTGTATACTTCAGTTGGGTTTGGTTTCTAAGTTCAAGGGCCTAGGTGGTGTCTGGCATATATATAGCAGCTTCTAGCAATGGTTTGATCAGAACGAGACATAATGAAAAGATTGTACGAGACCCTTTGGCTACTGCTTGTGTCTTTTAGCCACTCATTAAAAAACAAAACAGCATTTGACTCGTTTAGCTGGTGGTCCACTGTGACCTCTTGATGATTTTTTTCTTTACTCTTACTTAGCACATAACTGTTTTCCATCTTCGGTTTGATGTACTTAGAGCCTGGTAATGGGCTTTATTAACATCGTTCTTTTCTAGAGTTCCTCATATGATATGCTCTTACCCACAGTGTAAGACATCCTCTCCTAGATGTTTTTCATTACAAAGCAAAGCTGTTTCTTCTGGTGGGCAGGAGTTGCAGTCAGCTTCTATGTCTTTCCTGCAGGCTTGGAGGAAGGTGAAGATGAAGGCAGCAGAATTCTAAATTTGTCATCCTGTTCGGTAGGAGGTTTCTCAAGGGAGAAAGAGAATGCTGTGAACTCCAGGGGAGGGAGTGATTGGCTCTGCTCCGTGTAGGG